GTGTAGTGTCACATACTGATGTTGGATCTCTTTTATGTACATTTATCGCCTTTTGTTCATCATGCATCGCTTTATGTAGGGCATATCTTATACACTGTGTCGCCTACAATTGCCAAGTTTATTATTTGTGAAATTTGGTCTAGAGTCATGGCTCTTTGTTCATTTACCCTACTAAGGTTTATTCAGAGGTGGAGGACAATTGATTTGCTCATTATTTTTACCTTTACCTTATCTATGATATTTAATACACCAAGTTTAGTTTGCTGTGTGTCCTGTGATACTTGCTGCTGTAATGTAGTAACACTTTGCTGGGTTGTAGTGAGGATGACTGTCTGGTGAACTGCAGTGTAGATGACAGTAAGAACTCGTCTCCGGAGCCTGAATGTAACAGTGTGGAGGAGAACCCAGGGTCAGAGGATAGTAATGATGTGGAGGATTTAGTCATGGAACCACCAACAGCCACCATTGTGTCCACTATTGGTCAGTATTCACAAAACTTCTTTAAGTCCAAAGCAGTCATTAACACATGCTAAAGGTCTAGTTATTGTCGCATAATATGGCGTTGTGTAATCATGACATAATTGTTACCATCATGTAAAAAAGTTATTCTTGCTATTGTAAAAAGAAAATTTTAAAACAATGTAGGAATAAAATGCCTTGAAACACATTTAATAATTGATATCAATTCTGTACAATGAAAGTGACAATTTGGATATTTTGCTCTGTAGGAATAGCATTGCCTACAACTAACACGGAGCCAAAATTTAGCAAAGTGAACCGCATGAAGCCAACCACTAACACCAACAATAAAGTGGAAAGTGGCAAGGTGAACTCAACTGAGTCCAAGAAAAATAAACGAAACCGCGAAAAACGTGAGCGATACCCAGATGTGGAGAACATGCCAATCCCTACAATGTCTAGTTCTAGTGGTGACATCACCACAACAACTACCACCATTACTGTGCGGCCAAGTCCAGGACGAGCAAACAACAGGAACAGCACAGCCACTCGCAAGAAAAAGGGGGAGCGTGATCAGGTGCTCAAGAATGCGAGCACAGGTAAGACAAATTTCTGTAGGGCAGGTTACGGGGACACCATAGAGACACTGATGAATAATATAAATAGTAATTGGATATGGTTGGACACTTTAATTTTTGATGGAAGAAGTTACTTTAAATTTAACAGAAGAATCCAGATGTTTTCTAGGTTTGTGGAGTGAGAAGATAAGGTTGTTTTGTGTGTTGCTTTAGAAATAGGTATTGCCAGATTTTATTAATGTACAGAAATGTAGTGAATTTAGATCTGTTTCATATCTTTGCTTTTCATATCTGTCAGGCATTGGTGATTTGGATGACTTTGGAACATTACCTGAGAATATGAAGATCAGTGACAGAGAGCTGGAACGAATGAAAAAAACGGGAGGAAAAGTGAAATCTTCTGGGTTAGTATATATGTGACAGCTTGTGAATAAACTTACTTCCAATCAAGTGGTAATTCTCAAAAAGGTATGAAATTTTGTATTCCAGTTTCTAAAGTATCTTGTTTTAGAAGTTCTGCATATTTTGATGCATGATTTGATTTATGAAATTATTTTTACAATTTTTACTTTTTATGGCAGATCTGATGTGGATAACAAGAAACATCACCACTCTCATCCAATGTCGGACAAGGGCAATGTCGAAGTGACCACCACCCCTTCAAATCTTTCTGTGAAAACGTCGTCCCTTGTCAATAGTCCAAAGAAGGGACAAAAGAAGGAGGAAGGCTGGAAGGAAGTCACTAGAAAGTGAGTTTCTTTCTTCTTTATTCCATTCGTGATTCAAACTTTACCATTGATATTTATTATGTGTTGCCTGTGTAATATATACATACAAAGTAGGCAAATAAATCCCTTCGGAGTGTTTTATCTGTCTTTATAGTTACATGTATAGCTGTGGTTGATCTGTACCAGTATTCCAAAACAAAAGACACAAAAAATATAATCTTTTGTACAATAACTTATTCAGAGTACTAGCCCCCATGGCCATGGAAAATTTATAAAAAAATTGGAGAGAGAAAAAGGAAATTTTCACTAGCCAAGCACAAAATCTACAATAACTTTTTATGCGTTTTTGTACTATCACACACCTCTGCAAAACCACATTTGAAGGTATTTAGAGAAAGCTCTTTGAGGTATTAGTGACTTAAAACAGGCTCTAATAAAACCTTGGTATATGTTGAGTTTTGATGTTTAATGACAGCCTCATGCAGCTCTGAAATATCCTGACAGTGCATTTTTATTTCATTTTCAGGAAATCCTCAACCGCTCCTGATGTTAAAGGTCCAACAGGCAGAGACAGGTAATTCATATGTAAAGGATTCGGAAATGTTACCATAAGATTGGAAATTTTATCTCCATATTTGGTCAAAGGTGAAATTAGTATGTTTGAAAATGAAATCAAATGGAGTTTTGATTAAGTTATAACATTGTTTCAGATCCAAGAAAGTGCAGGTGCCATCAGCAGCTATCAGTCGAGTGATTGGACGAGCAGGATGTAACATCAATGCCATTCGAGAGGTGTCTGGGGCCCACATAGAGGTTGAGAAGCAAAGAGGCTCCGGGGAACGTGTTATTACCATCAAGTATGTATTCCTCTTGTTGTTTTGCAAGAGGAGAAGAATATTCACAGCTGTATGTGTTAACTTGTCACAAAGTGCCAACTTCTGTATATATATCGGCTAACAGTTATAATGATAAGTGACAACATTATTATATCGGTTCTTAACAGAATCATTGATTGGCAACTGCAATTCATTCAAATTTGCTTTAAGGTCAAGAGTACCATCAAGTTGAAATACACAATCATCATCACAACTTCCATGAAGTATAAGTTTCATTCCTACAGAAGTAATC